GGAGGGACGGCCCTGATATCTGCCGGCCCCACTAAAAACTCTCTGAGAGAACACCCGCTTCATGTTGGCTTGTGCCTTATTCAGTGCCGTGAATGTCCCTACGTATGTGCCTAACTCCTTCACTAAGTTGTCCCCAAATAAAAGACCTTTGGCCTGTGCTCCAGGCTCTGAGAGCGCAAGGTTTACTAACTTTGGGTCTAGTTTCATCAAAATGGACTTGCGTCTCTCTGTGGCCACTGCCGCATTAGCGTTACCTAGTAAGTACACAGATCTTTGTATCCAGCCCCTGATGGCCATTAAATCAGCGGGGGCACCCCCTGCCAATGCCGTTTCGACCATTTTGAAAATCTTGGCACTTGGTCCCAGAGCGCCCAGGATTTTGTCCTGGCAACTTCGCAGGGAGAAATACATCCTTCCATCGTGTTTTGTCAAGAAATGGGGCTATTTTGGGATCCATGTCTCGTGTGGTACAGGTCATCTTAGGGAGATTGGGACATGGGCATTCCACTCTGAGTTTATTCCGTGCCTCTTTGTTAAGTGGTTTCCTTATAGGTGCGGCAATGTATTTAGCCACGTGATCCAAAGGGTACCACTCTGAAGAACGTGGCTGCTGTAAGCTGTCCGGATCAGAGTCATAAGAGTCCCCATCGGACTCGTTCAGTGCCTCCTCTTGTTCCAATTCTAAGTAGGAAAATTCACTGAGGGCTTTTGCCCTCTTCCAGGTCCTGACCAATGTTGCCTGGTGGGGGGCTCTCTGTAGTGGTGTAACCACATCCTTAGTGACAGGACGTACCTCTCCGTCTCAAAAGTTTTGGAGGACTCCTCGTCTATATGACGGGATTTCTTAGTGGATTTATGCCCACTAGGGACTACTGTCTTACTCTCCAGGGGGTTCAGAGCCATTAGGACAGGTGGTCTCTGGGCGGACAGCAGGGCCCGAGTGATGGAGTGTGACAGGGTATCTGCATAGGCGTGTGCAGCCTATTGCGAGACACACTAACACTAGTAAAGTGATGTAGGAGAATGATTACCCCAGAAAAAAAAAGACACCACAGAAACTAGGCACAACAAAATACAAGCAATTAACAATCTCACAGAGTGTTCCCTCAGGAATAAGCCCTGGGGAAAACTGGGAGCTTGCCCAGCAATGCCGTCAGCCAATCAGAGTTGGCCCACCCCCCAAAACGTTTGGCTAATGGCCACACAAAAGCGCGGCAAAATTTTCAGTCAAAACATGGCTGCCGCAATGCGCACGAGCGGCGAAAATTTCCCTCACACGAAACCGTGACCCGCCATGACCGTCGGAATGTCGGCACCCGGTGGTGATGCTCGCGGACCGAGAGAGGTGTGTGAGGCAGTCAGGTGAATGAACAAAGTCGACAAATAAACAAACCAACGAGCAACAGGAGAAGGAGGGGGGAGGGAGGCTGGGTGCAGGGAAAAGCGATGGCCCAGAGTGCCAAAGTAGAGTGAAGGCTAGTGAAGCCACAGAAAATAATAAAATATACCATACAAAATACAATAAGAATGTTAAAATACAATAAATATATACAAGCTAAGTTTAGAGAAATATGGAGGCAGCAGCTCAGGAGGCAGCAGCAAAGAAAGAGGAGTGGCTTAAGGTCACATGGGACATTATTGTGCAAGGAACATTATTATTGGATAATATGTTTATAATGTAGTTAACCCATTGGGGTACATGTTATTTGTTTTTTCTTTGAATATTTCAATATACTTTCTTTGCTGCTGAGGAATAAAGAAAGAGATAAAGCATAATATGAGCCTTGTTGTGTCCTTTAACCCCTTAAGGACACAACTTCTGTAATAAAATGGAATCATGACAGAATATATCTGTCATGTGTCCTTAAGGGGTTAATAAAATTAATAAACATATTAAATTAGATTAACGTGGTGATGGCTTCCCTTGGACACCTAACTTTGTGACTGCAATACTATAAGTCATAGACAGAGGGCACTCAAGAGCAGAATATAATCAATAGGTGAACACGCTCATATATGGAACATAATAAAGATATTGTAAGCCGATTAAAATCTTTGCAGCACATAACATCATACATGTCTTGCATTACTTATTCTATTTGCTGTCTTAAGAAGAGGATTGAGAGACACATGTCCTGTCTCAGGCATTTGACTTGTTCTTCATCTTTAAACCCAGCTCAGCATTTTGTTTTATCTGTTGCCAATAATAATTATTACTGTTTTATAGCCTATTTAGTTTACAGCATTACAGGTCACGATAGCTCTGGTATATTTCAAAGTGGAAACTGTGGGCTTGATAAGCATTGTGGGTTTATTTACTAAAACGTGAGATGTAGTGAACTGACAATTGAAATGCAAGATTTAACCTATGAACATTTAGTGGCCTTATACAGGGAGTGCAGAATTATTAGGCAAGTTGTATTTTTGAGGATTAATTTTATTATTGAACAACAACCATGTTCTCAATGAACCCAAAAAACTCATTAATATCAAAGCTGAATATTTTTGGAAGTAGTTTTTAGTTTGTTTTTAGTTTTAGCTATGTTAGGGGGATATCTGTGTGTGCAGGTGACTATTACTGTGCATAATTATTAGGCAACTTAACAAAAAACAAATATATACCCATTTCAATTATTTATTATTACCAGTGAAACCAATATAACATCTCAACATTCACAAATATACATTTCTGACATTCAAAAACAAAACAAAAACAAATCAGTGACCAATATAGCCACCTTTCTTTGCAAGGACACTCAAAAGCCTGCCATCCATGGATTCTGTCAGTGTTTTGATCTGTTCACCATCAACATTGCGTGCAGCAGCAACCACAGCCTCCCAGACACTGTTCAGAGAGGTGTACTGTTTTCCCTCCTTGTAAATCTCACATTTGATGATGGACCACAGGTTCTCAATGGGGTTCAGATCAGGTGAACAAGGAGGCCATGTCATTAGATTTTCTTCTTTTATACCCTTTCTTGCCAGCCACGCTGTGGAGTACTTGGACGCGTGTGATGGAGCATTGTCCTGCATGAAAATCATGTTTTTCTTGAAGGATGCAGACTTCTTCCTGTACCACTGCTTGAAGAAGGTGTCTTCCAGGAACTGACAGTAGGACTGGGAGTTGAGCTTGACTCCATCCTCAACCCGAAAAGGCCCCACAAGCTCATCTTTGATGATACCAGCCCAAACCAGTACTCCACCTCCACCTTGCTGGCGTCTGAGTCGGACTGGAGCTCTCTGCCCTTTACCAATCCAGCCACGGGCCCATCCATCTGGCCCATCAAGACTCACTCTCATTTTATCAGTCCATAAAACCTTAGAAAAATCAGTCTTGAGATATTTCTTGGCCCAGTCTTGACGTTTCAGCTTGTGTGTCTTGTTCAGTGGTGGTCGTCTTTCAGCCTTTCTTACCTTGGCCATGTCTCTGAGTATTGCACACCTTGTGCTTTTGGGCACTCCAGTGATGTTGCAGCTCTGAAATATGGCCAAACTGGTGGCAAGTGGCATCGTGGCAGCTGCACGCTTGACTTTTCTCAGTTCATGGGCAGTTATTTTGCGCCTTGGTTTTTCCACACGCTTCTTGCGACCCTGTTGACTATTTTGAATGAAACGCTTGATTGTTCGATGATCACGCTTCAGAAGCTTTGCAATTTTAAGAGTGCTGCATCCCTCTGCAAGATATCTCACTATTTTTGACTTTTCTGAGCCTGTCAAGTCCTTCTTTTGACCCATTTTGCCAAAGGAAAGGAAGTTGCCTAATAATTATGCACACCTGATATAGGGTGTTGATGTCATTAGACCACACCCTTCTCATTACAGAGATGCACATCACCTAATATGCTTAATTGGTAGTAGGCTTTCGAGCCTATACAGCTTGGAGTAAGACAACATGCATAAAGAGGATGATGTGGTCAAAATACTCATTTGCCTAATAATTCTGCACTCCCTGTAGTTCCAAAAGTGGAATTTCTAACTGATAACTTAGCTCTCAAAATGTAACGTAATTATTATGTGTTTGATTCATCTGAAAGAAGACACAAAGAGGGGTAAGAGCAAAAGTGGCAAACGGGCATTAAGCGAAACACAAGCTACACTGATGAAGACTTATTTTGGGGGTGGCAAAGTGTGTCTTCATCTGTATATCCAGAAATCCTTGCACTGGCCCTGACAGCAGGGAGATGGCTAATTATTATTATTATTATTATTGCCATTTATATAGCGCTTTACAATATTATGAGAGGAGGGATGTGGAATGTGGCGAGAAAGGGAGGCTACGTTTCCATGCATCTGTCCATGCCTTGAATTATATACAGTACTGCATTAACAGAGCAAGCCCTACTTCTATTTCCTTTATATTATGGGTTAAGTGCCTGTATATTCTGCAGCGTTGTACCAACAAGTAGTTGCAACAATACAAGTTGGACAGTACAGGAGATGTGAGTATATAAATATCACAATCAGGCACAACACACAGTAAGAGCAATAAAATAAAAAAATATATACAGTGAAAACTTTATTTGTGGCTCCACCATGATCGGGGCATCCTATTATTGGTTCCCTACTGAAAAAAAACATCATAATAATAATCTCTTTTTACTCTGAAACAGCACAGCTGTCATTGGTTTTGACTTATCTTGCCATCACTTGAAATCCCTATAACCATATAAACGTCTATCTAGACTCAGTCACTGTGTGTTAGGGAGAGCAGCATGGAAGCTGCACGAAACACATTGGAAGGATTAACTACAGCAAACTGAAAGCTGTGCTCTGATTGGCTAATGGGCGTGCCATGTGCAAAATAGTCTCTTCTTGTTTTTACAGCGATAAATCAAATAAATTCTAAATAAAACAATGAAGGACAGTGAAAATATACATTTAATAGTCTTCAAAAATATGTTTTCCCATTATTATAATTTAAGGAAAGGTGTACAAAATGTCACCACATACTTAATAGCAATGCCTCACAACCTGTTCCTTGGTTGCAGCAGTGATTAGTTGAGGCTATACTTTCAGCAATCATTTCTATAATTTGTAACTGGTGAAATGTGCTCGAAAGTGTCCAAATTTAGCAACCATGACGAAGAGCTTAAGTGATCACTCCTGAGCGTGAAGTGGGTGTTTAGTGCTGCTTAAAGGACCACTATAGTGCCCTGAGGGTGCCCCCACCCTCAGGGACCCCCCTCCCGCCCGGCTCTGGGGAGAGGAAAGGGTTAAAAACTTACCTTTTTCCAGTGCTGGGCTGGGAGCTCTCTGCCTCCTCTCCTCCTCCTGGGCTGAATGCGCACGCGCGGCAAGAGCTGCGCGCGCATTCAGCCCGTCGCATAGGAAAGTATTTACAATGCTTTCCTATGGACGCTTGCGTGCTCTCACTGTGAAAATCACAGTGAGAAGCACGCAAGCGCCTCTAGTGGCTGTCAATGAGACAGCCTCTAGAGGGAATAGGGGGAAGGCTTAACCCATATTCATAAACATAGCAGTTTCTCTGAAACTGCTATGTTTATTAAAAAATGGGTTAACCCTAGCTGGACCAGGCACCCAGACCACTTCACTAAGCTGAAGTGGTCTGGGTGCCTAGAGTGGTCCTTTAATAGTAGTTGGTAGATGCTATTGATGATTGTTCCACTCTTCAGTAATGGAGAGAATACAAGCTGAGTGGCTACTAACCAACTGGTTAATAATAGCATGGATTTAAAAAGTAGTAATAAAGTTTGAGGGAAGTTGAGATAGGAAGTCATTAGAAGTATTCTTGATAAATGCTATATGTTCATTAAAAAATGATCGCTGTGCGATTGGTTGATATATGTAAGGAAAAAAAAAACGTTACTTATTTTATTGCTATGATCTAAAGGATATTGGTGGTAAGGTTATACAAAAGGATGTACCTGTAGTTATCCAAATATATAGCATGGTGATACGTTAATGTCATTAGTGTTAGAATCGCATACTTATTTCAAATGCAGAGTAAATGTAGCAGAACGTAAATACACCATCTATTGGCAGCTAGGTGTATTATATTCCGAATGAAACAACGTTACTCCTAGCACTATGGAAAGAGTTAACATTCTAGATCGGTGTGTTCTTTTTACCAGTACTACCCAGGAATACTCAGCAATAATTCAATGCTAGTTATATTAATCTATTAATATCGGGGCAGTGAGAGGGTCTGCATAACTCATGCAATATGTGTGTGCATCATGTGACTAAGTTTAGCTGTTTCACTATAAATCGCTTATCTGTGTGGATGGACATTACATGTAAAGCAAGGAATCAAGCCATGAACTATACAGCAACCCTGCAGCACATTACTTCTTCATACTGCAGAGTAACGCCATGTATTGCCCAGGAAGAAATGTCAGTTCAGGGAAACGTGAGAGATTTGGCAGCCCTGCAATACCCATACTGAGCACCATGTGAGGCGTAATGTCACACGTGACGCCTGTCAGAGAGCGAGTCATGGCGTTGAGCGCTAAACACTAGAGAACTGTCCGTATACAGTGGTCACAATTCCTATCAGTCTCCAGTAGCCGTACATTACACTGAACGTCGACCCGTGTGCTGTCGGGTGGACGCTGGTACCAACTCTGTGAATGCCCTGTGTGTGTCTCCAACACTGGGCTTCACCGACGTCACCAGAATTATCGTCATTGGAGGAAGCCGCGGCCATCTTTGATCAGGGCAGGTTTGCTATAAAACGGATGAGATTTTTTTTTTTTTTAAATTAAGTGTGGGCTGAAAATGATATAAAACATAATGAAATAATCAAATGCTGAATTCCGCTCCTATACCACACGCTACATCAACACAATACTTCCTGTCTACCAGGACTGCTGTATAGTCTCCATGGTAACACCCCCCCTCCCGACTTCCCAGAGTGCTTCGCGGTCCAGGAAGCTGCTGCGTCGTCCAGTGGGGAGCAGCTGGTTGTAGAGATGGACGAGGATGAGCTGGAGGTGGTGGAGGAGTTGGAGGCCGTGTTACACCTGTCCCCAGAGGTGCAGCAAGCCATAGAGCAGGTGGGGCACCCTCACACTATTATATATTAGCCTTGGAGGACTTGTTTAACCCTTTAGTTAACTTGTGTCAGCTCATCATTCTGGCTATCAGAGGGTTAATGCTGTGGGTGACAGTAAAATAAAACCAACCAACCAACCTGTCTACAACATGAATTTACAACATGTTCTACTTGGGCTCATATGTCTTGTATGTAGCCCATTTCTTGTATAATTTTTCTTTACCTAATGTTGGTTTTTGAATGGAGTGATACATGGGCAGTAGGATGGAACGAAGTGTTTATATTTTCTTTTAATTTCATTTAAATCATTTAATTTCATTGCCAGCTGTATGCCTATAGCAAATATTAAATGGTTACTGCAAGCACCATAACCACTTCAGCGATTTGAAATAGTCATGGTGCCTGGAGTCTGTATATGCGCGTTTTGTCATGAAGCTACAAATACAGCGTTTAAAGGACCACTATAGTGCCAGGAAAACAAACTCGTTTTCCTGACACTATGTAGTCCTTAGGTCCCCCACCCTCATGGTCCCCCTTCAACCACTTACCTTTCTCCAGAGCGGGGCTCCATCGGTGCTGGCGACCTCTCCTCCTGCCGACGTCAGCGCCGAATGCGCATGCGTGGCAAGAGCCGCACATGCATTCAAACCGCCCATAGGAAAGCATTACTCAATGCTTTCCTATGGATGTCAATGTCTTCTCACTGCGATTTTCACAGTGAGAATCGCGGAAGCACCTCTAGCGGCTGTCAGTGAGACAGCCACTAGAGGCTGGATTAACCCTCTCTGAAACTGCTATGTTTTCAGCTGCAGGGTTAAAACTTGAGGGACCTGGCACCCAGACCACTTCATTGAGCTGAAGTGGTCTAGGTGCCTATAGTGGTCCTTTAATCCCTCTACTGCCAGAGATGTTACTCCACCTCATTTGTCAGCATCGCGGGTAATGTCAATTCTGTGCGACTTTCCATGCACAGAATTGCAATCATGGGCTGAGAGCAGGCAGCTGTCATATTCATCCAATGAATAGCAAAAAATCTCTGTTTCCAGGGTCTGCAACTTTGCAGAAGCCATAAACCCATCCACCAGGCAACCTCAGGGCCTGTTAGGAACCCAGGTAAGAAGGCAAACCGCTGCTAATCAGTTGGCTCTATTCCCGGAAACCAGGCTAGGGTACTGGCATCATGACCAATACAGCGGACTGCAGTAGTTATGATGATAGGAGTATCCCTATAAAGTGGTCTGACACCTTCAGGGGTCTTTATATACTTTGTAAAGGTATCATTCATGCTTGGGGTGCTGAGGCCTGGTGTTCCTTTGAAGGGTAAAAGCTGGTCAGTGTGGGTGCCGCTACGCCATCTTTTGTATTCAGCCTCTGGCACTTCATTCACCAATAGCCGCATTAGTGTTGTTCTGTTCTGCGCAAGTACAACACTGTCTATTGAGGATTCTGCAATATGGGAGCCTAAGCAAAAAAAAAACCTCTCACAGCCCATGAGAGCAAGCCTCGTCGTTAACAATGGCTAGAGGAATTGACAAAACTTGGCCGTAGAAGCAATGCGTTTTGTCAGCCTCAGCCTTCACCATAAGACAGGCAGATCCTGCTGCTTCTTATGGTATCTTAAATTATTCAAGTCAGTGAAACTCCAACACCATCAGTGTAAGTATTTCATAATGAATGTGTTTTAAAGAAATACTCACATTTTAGTGAGGTTATAAAGCAAATTTAAATTGAACCTGTATTTAAAACAGTAATAGCGGTGTTTAAGAGTATAATATTAAGTGAATGTAATAATGCAACTTTGTGTTCTACTTAAGCATGAACAACCTATACTTAACAATAAGTGGAATGCCTACATAAATGCATATCTTGTTTAATTTTTAGGTTTTTGTGTTTTTTTTTTTGTTTTTTTTAAACAAAAAAAACACATGTACTGCAATTTTCTTTACCCACTTGTAAAGTTTATTGCGTTTTCATAATAAAATTACAAGAGTCGGTGTACAATTATATGGTTTGCAGACAGTATACATCTCTAAATATGGGTTACAGTATCAATTCTGATATTTACATAATAACATGTGACAATTACAAAATAGCTTAGTTCTTTTTCCTGCCACTGTATAGATCTCCCTCCCCCCTCCCATAGTAGGACCATGGATGTCTATTGATGAAGGATTAAGATGAGCAAACTTTGAAACAGATTCACAGCGAGCCCTTTAGACCCTCCCTATAGGAAAGCATTGCATCAATTTTTACTGACGCTGGATGTCCTCATGGGACTTCCAGCGTCAGTTAGGCGACCAAAAGTTTAAATTTAGATTGACAGCCTGGAGGTTGGCATTGATCTTTGCGATGGTGGAGTCAATAAGACTGTATGGATCCTGCCCCGTGTTAGATTAGAGTACTCTATATCTAGCCATTGGACCTGCGTTTGTGGAGCCAAGAAGAGAAAGCTTTGGCATAATAGTGAAGTTTGGTAATAGGATACGGGGAGCTGAGAGTCCCCTTTTCTCACTGCTTTTGTAAAGCGTGCGTCTGAAAATTCGCCTGCCTTTTTTGACGTGACTTTAAATGTATTTATCATTCCTTGAATCAAATTTAGAGTCTCGTCTGGTACCTGGATTGGAATTGTGCGGAATGGGTATAAAAGTTTTGGTATTACATTTGCAATTCTACCAGGCCACGATAAATCACACCCCCTCCATTTAAACATGTCACCTTGAATGTGTTTCCATTTAGCCTCTATATTAGGGATCAGAGCACCTGGGGTCTTTGTAATTTTGAAATTTGATTTATGTATTTTAAATAGTCCTCCAATAATATTGGGATGATTGTTTAAGTTGGTTTATATCCCTTTTGGATATGCCCAGTGGAAGAACTATTGATTTGGTGACCGCTAACTTTATTATATGAAACTGCTGAATTCTGTTGGTGTTATCTGCAGGTTAGAGAGAGACATAAAGGCTTTAGTCAGATACGGTATATCAATATGTCTGCAAACATTTATCTTTTGCATGTTACTGAGAGGGAGAATGTAAATCCTTTAAAGGGACACTATAGTCACCAGTGCAACTACATGTATTCCTGACCCTATAGGGTTAACACCACAATCTAGCCCCCTTGGGCCCCTCATGCCTCCATAAATATAATACAAATCTTACTGTAT